CAAAAAAACACTTAGCGCGACCATATACATTATCATCGCGCAAAGTTAGCAAGAAAACCGCAGGTTATTTTATTTGGCGCAAAACACTTGTGCGTCGCTAAAGAATACTTAGCGCGACAACACACGTTATCGTCGCGTAAAGTTTGATGTTGGCACGTTCATGAGCGACGAAAATGGTCTTATGCATGACACGAATGAGCATTTGTGGGACGAAATTTGTAGCGACGAAAAAGCATAAAAGTTGGATGTCGACACATATCTGTGCGACGAAAAACGTATTTTGGGCGACGAAAGTGACCACTTGCGAATGAGCATTTGTGGGACGAAATTTGTAGCGACGAAAAAGCATAAAAGTTGGATGTCGACACATATCTGTGCGACGAAAAACGTATTTTGGGCGACGAAAGTGACCACTTGTGCGACAAAAATGAGTTTTCCCATGACGAAGTATTATTTTTGCATGACGATGTGTTGTGCGACGAATTCCTTTTCTTCACGCAAAATCCTTCGTCATATAATCTAGATTCAGCCATTGCAGAGGCAGACTACAAAAAAAGGCTCTGCCTCTGCCTCTGCCTCTGCTTCTGCTGGGAATGTATTAATGTAAATTCGTACTAACGCCATTAATTTCGTTGTCTATAGGGATATTATGTGTGATTTGCGATTGGTGGAGAACGATTGAGAAAGTATTTTCTTCGTTTTATATTTTAAAAATATATAATTAATTACATTATGTTAAACTTATATTATTTTGTGAAATTATATTTATATTATGTTGTTAAATTTGATTCGTGACGTAGAACAATGTACTTTTTTTAATTTTTAGTAAAACTTAGTTTCCCGTTCGAGGATTAGTTGGATCTTAGTTTCCCGTTCGAGGATTAGTTGGATCTTAGTTTCCCGTTCGAGGATTAGTTGAATTTCGTGCATGGATACGAAAGCATGACTGCGGTCCAATTAATTCTTGAATTGTCCCATTATTTGGACAGTTTGGGAATTCATAGTCATGTCACGTAATTTACGGTTACAGGATTAGGTTTCGGTTGTGGAAATTTCGGTATCATCTATGTATGTTCTTTGGGTGGTACATATGTTTTTTATACCTACAGTACACCTCAAGAACTTTACTGACTTTGCACGTAAACACAACTTCGGTCCAACTAGAATCCGGTGTCCTTGTAGGAGCTGTAACAACACATTGTGGGAGACAATTAAAAATGTTTGATTTTATTTAGTAAGGAATGAAATGATTGAGACATATAGCACTTGGAACCATCACGGGGAACAATTAGACAATGCTTTGTCTTCAAGGGCCACAAGAGTGGACAATGTTGAACCTATTGTGGATCCTAATGAACAAGTCATGGATATTATAAATGATGCTTTTCCATTTGCATTGACCAACATCAATCAGGAAGGGGAAGATGACGTGCCTACACTAATGGACAGTGCAGAGTTCGAACAATATGAAAAACTGTTAAAAAATGTCAACCAAGAGTTATACCCGGGGTGCGAGAGCTTTTCCGTTCTCACGGCCATTGTGGAGCTAATGCACGGAAAAATAAAGTATCGTATGTCGAACTTCTGTTTCGATTACTTTTTGCGAGTTTTCAAGAGAATGCTTCCGAAGGGCAATTGTTTGCCGAAAGACCATAGACACGCGCAAAAGGTATTGAATGGTCTTGGATTGGGTTATGAAAAAATTAACGCTTGCAAAAACAATTGCATGTTATTCTACAAAGAGTATGAAACATTGGATGCATGCCCTATATCCAATGAGTCGAGGTTCAAAATGATATCTTAGAATAGAATGACTAAGATCCCATAAAAAGTCATACGTTATCTGCCCCTGAAACCTAGGTTACAGCAATTGTATATGTCGACGCATACTGCCACAGACATGAGATGGCATAAGGAAAAACGGGTAGACGACGATGTGATGCGGCATTCTACAGATGGGGAGGCATAGAAAGAGTTTGATCGAACGTTCCCCGAGTTTGCTGCTGATCCCCGAAATATTAGATTGGGATTTGCCACTGACAGATTCAATCTGTACGGGGTTCTAAACCAACACCACAGCACTTGGCTGATTTTCGTATTCCCGTATAATTTGCCGCCTTGGAAATGCATGAAAAAAGAATACAGGATGATGACTATTTTGATAACTGAGGATCCTGGTAGGTTAATCGATGTTTACTTAAGGTTGTTGGTTGATGAGCTCAAGGATTTATGGACAAACGGTGTGCGCACGTACGACAAATCCACTGGGAAGATGTTCACTTTGCGGGCAGCAGTTATGTGGACTGTGAATGATTTTCCCTCATATGCAATGGTTTCTGGGTAGAGCACAAAAGGTTATATGGCATGCCCTATATGCAAGGAAGATGTAACTTCTGGTTGGCACGTTGGAAAAGTTTGTTACTTTGGTCATCATAGATGGTTTTCATGGGACCACGAGTGGCGGGAAAATGATAAAGAGTTCGATAGGAACACAGAGCATCGCCTCAGACCTAGAGAATGGTCCGGTAATGAGATCTTGGAACAGCTTAACCGTTTGAATTTTGCTTCGTTCGAGAAAACAGATAGTCGGACCAGACATTCTACACATATGAATTGGAAACACAAGCCTATGTTTTTTGAGCTCCCATATTGGTCGAAACTAAAATTGAGGCACAATCTCGACATTATGCTTGTTGAGAAAAATGTCTTTGACACATTGATGGGCACGATTCTAGATATCGATGGCAAGACAAAGGACAAGATCAAAGCTAGTCTAGATATCGAGAGTTTTGGAAATATCGGTGGTCCAAAAACATGGAAATATCGATGGAAATGTCGAAGAAATATTGATATCGATAAAAATTGAATAAAAATCACGGAAATTGTGAGAAAAACTTGGAAATTTTTGATTTAAGTTGGTTATGTAGTGACCTGACAAACACTGTCTTTATAAAATATGTAGTAATTAGTGAAAGAAAATTAGACACACCATAATTTTTTAGTTATAATAAGTTACTATAATGTATTACATATGATAAGATATATGAGCTTGACAAAATATATATATATATGAGTAACTTAGTACCACATAGAAAGAATTCCTATTAAAGTTAAAACTTAGTATCACATATAATGAACAATATTAAAACTCAATAGTGAATAATATTACAACTCCATAATATATAACCCTAAAAAAGATAGAACTCCATAATAAAATAATAAATAACATTAAACATATGCCTAAATTTATCATTAGGGATTTTTTTTCTTTTTTTATGGAAACTTATCCTAGATAATATTAGCTTGCAGAAATTTTAAAGACCATATAAATATTACATGTTGTAGTTTTTGTTAACAAATTGATTCGTAGCATGTTGGATAAGGCTGAGTAGTTGGATGGGAAAGAGAGGGGTTTGAATTCCCTGGTGTGCAAAAGCGCCATTTCTCAACCATTTTCATTTATTTTTCAGTTTTATATCGCAATAATATCAACGAAAATATCGATATATTGACGATATTTAAGTGGATATGTGCTAAAATATCGCCCACTCAAAAAAACAATATTATCGGCGAAATATCGATATTTAGTTCCTTGGTTCTGAGATTATTGGGAGGGCTTGTCTTCTTTACCCAATTGCACATGTATTTTATCTATTTTCCTTTCTTTAAAACCTCTCTATAACCATTGATTTTCTGGATCCAACCCTGATCCCTCCAAGCTTGGTTTTAGTTTAGTTTAGTTTTTTTTGTTTTTTTGTTTTTGTTTTTTTTTTTTCTAATAGCAACCATGGAGAGCTTCAAATTCGTAGTTCATAAACAATTTGCAACTTGTTCATCGGGGTCTGGCTTCTACTAGATGTTTGTGGCTGAGTTCTTGTTTTTTTTGGAGCTTTGGGTGTTTTCTTGGTCATCCTGAATCTGTTTGCTAGTTTGATTTCGTGGGTTCTGTTGTCCTGATTCATTGCTGGCTTGTATCTTTCCAATGAAGTTCCATCTTTGACCAAAGAAAAACCCAAATATTAATTCCAATAACACTAGTCAAATTTATATTTGCAAATTAAAGATGAGAAGCTGGCTGCAGAGAAAGATAGAATGAAAAGAAGAAGGAATCCAATGGGGAGAGGTATTGCAGGAGTCAAGTTTCACGTTGTTAGTTTTCTGTTAGTTCAATTAGGGTATTTTTTTTTTAATCTTTCTTTTCTAGTTATGAGAAAATTGGGTTTTGTGTTAAAATTTCCTTATATTTTATTTTAATGATGTGGCATATGCAGGAAAAAGTCAAGCAGATAATAAGGATTTGGATCCATTTGGACTAGGCATTCTCTCTCTCTACAACACAAAGAGCATTGCAGCAAACCCATAATGAAAACCAGCCCAATAACACAAACCAGCCCATAATTTATTGTCATTGAAGTTGGGTTTTGTCTTTGTTTGGTTATTTGTTACTTGATGAGAAGAATGCATTTTGTTTGATGGTGGTGATATTGTCAAAACTCGAAATGCATTTCATTTATATTTGTCAAAACTCGATACGTTCACTCTCGCACTAACTTACACGGGAAAAGAACACTCTGTTATGAAGTATGAGAAAGAAAACAACAGAGATATGAGCACCCTAATTTGAAACTTGTCATTCTCTCTCCAACACAACACTCGATCACAAAGTCAACCCCACAGCTGGATGTGGTGCACCCAAAACCACCACCAAATGCTTTTAATATGCGTTATGAGACACATATGTGATTGCAATCTCGAGCCTCAGGGTGACATGCATTAATTATAGGCTTGTTTGCCTTTTGTTTATGTTTAACAACTTGGATCATCACCTTTAGGAATTTATAAGAACTTTTTATTCATCTTCAGTTGTCTAAGGCCAGTACTTCAGCTGACAACAAGAAATTAACATTCAAATTAAATTGCTTTTAGGAAAAAAAAACCATTACATGAAAGAAATAATTGTCACCTTCATTTGATTTCAACAAATTTACAACTTCTTATTGTGTTTATTTAGCAATCACATTACAGGAATATAAACAAAGTTGGCCAACAGGAAGGATTTGGTTGCCTTGGGATTCAATGAGAAAGAAACTATACTTTGCATTGCAAACATTTTCCCCTCCACAGAGCTGTACAGAGAAATCAGGGGCCACATGACATTTTGTGATCCATCGCGAATTCTACAAATCAACTCTCAAGTGATTCTCCAGCAAAGTACTGTTTGTGGACCATTTTTCTGTAATCTGTACAAGAAAATGAACAAGAATTGCATTAGAGGTTTGCACAGTCCAACCGAGGAAGAATTGGCACTTTCTCACCCACCGGCATCATATTCCAATCCATGGCATACCAGTTGGAACATTAGTTTACCAGGACGACAACATTTTATAGCTTAAGGTGGTAAAAGCAATTAATCTCATGGTGCATTCATAGGCTACAAAGTCTTGAACTTAGCATGAATTGCAAGGTTGTTGAAGGTTTAAGAACATTAAAGCTCAAGTTTCTAACCTTCCTTATTATTCCACAGAGCAGCAGCATAGCTGTTGAGGGGACTCTCCGGGTTTGGTTCTGCATGTAAGAACTAAAATGTCAGAAAAGAATGAATGAAGTTTACGAGAACTTTCATGCAAAGAAGAGCAAGTTTACCTCCCAATAGACTTTGAATGGACAGAAGTATAGTCCTGCAATCGTACGCTGAAGACCACTTGTCCTGTGCCACGTATAGCAAGAACAACATAAGCCTTTTAAGAGTACATGAAAGTGAAAGAAAGGAAACTCAATCCAATATTAATATAAGACTCGTAGAGTGACATTATTATCACCAATCAATTGCTTGCCCTACATCTGTTTCCCCACCCCCATCACAATAAAAGTAGCATTCTTATCATTCAACTCTTCCATCAATTTTTCTCAAAATACCCATAAATACTGATCTTACATTTTTGTTTTTTGTCTTCTTTTTTTTGTATTTGTTAGTTCTAGATGAAGATGGCCACGGCAGCAATAGTGCTGTTATGACCCTATCAGATTTTGCAGCACCCTTGGATTAAGGACACAGACATGTGGGCACTGCAGCACCACCGGGTAAGGGGCACTACCAGCATCCCCGAGTCAGGGGCATTGACATGTGAACAAACATTTAGATTTATCCAACCAATTCTAGTTTTCTATAGGACACCTCAAATACTATAGAGTGAAGACCATCATATGGTGGAGCAAACTCCTCGATACAAGAGACACTGTCACCATCATAATGGTCAATCATAACTTCTCCATATTAGAGACACAGAGAAGGCTGTTTCTCTCACTTTATCCTCTTTGACCTTACTAGCACAAAGCTTGATACCAGTTTCTTTAACACAACGATAAATACCTGCAGAATATCAAGACATATATTGCCAAACTGATCAACATTTGGATGGAAGCACATTGTCTCAAACTTGGCTTGGGGTGGCTTGAAAGGATAGTCCAGAGGAAAACGCAAAGAAAGTTTGTAGGATAAACCCTCATACATAGTTCCTTTTCCACCTTCAATTGTGCCAAGCCATGTAAAAATGCTCTCCCCTTCAGGAAAAGCCGATACTCCAAGATCTCCTCCACTCATCTGAAAACAAGGACCAATAGATGTTGGATGGACAAACGTCAGTAAAACCAAGAGTTACTTGTCTCATAACTGAAATGAAAAGTAACAAGAAATAAGGTCACCAATTCATCAAATGGACTCCTATTAGACATTAAACTTCAAGAAGATACTGTTCAGCATAGAAAATTTTATTGACAACATATCCTTCCAGTGTGTAACGCCTACAAGTGGAAGTGTGATCATGGTTAAGACTTCTCAGACAACCACACACGCAGTGCAGCCATAATCTGATGCTTTGCATTGAATTCCTAGAGAACACACACACCTACCTACCTAACTTCTGCACCACACATCCACATCATCCCAGGATTATCAAGAATCAAGAAAGTCCCCTTTGTTTTTTCCTTCTAGATTATGCTTCAAGTTTCAGCTTATGAAATTAAGATTGAACCCACAGAAAACCCAGTTCAAGATTTAGCAAAAATAAACAAATACAACAAGAAATGAAAGATTAAGTAACAGAGATTCAGACAAAATCAAAAGCAAAGAATTTTTCGAAACAAAGTAATAAAAGAGAGAAACATATCATACCATCAGAGACATCAACTCCTTCTGAAGCCTACAACAACATTGAAACAAACCAAGTTCAGTTGCGAATTGAATTATCTCGGGATCCAAACAGCGAATTCAAGAGAAGGACTGACCTTTTTGAAACGGAGGTGGTGTCGACCGGGATGGGAGAAGCAGGGGCCTTTTTCTGAGTAGTTGCGGGTGTTTGGCGCTGACGCTGGGGCTGCACGACCGACGAGTTATCGGCCGTTGGATTGGGGCGGACCTCCATGCTCACGGTGATCAATCGCCTTTCTGATCGACGGTTGCTATTCAACTTAACGGTTTCTGCAGCGGTGGTGGTAAATGGTAATGAGGCTGTCTTTCTGTTTTATCTTTTATTTATTTTTGTTTTTAAAATTTATTAATGAGAGACTATAATGGGGGCACGACCTGCTGTTCCTGTTGGTGTGACTGATTATAATCACTCATTAAATCATCATAATATTATAATTTTTTTTAAAACAAAAACAAAAAAAGGTGATAATGTAATTTGGAGTAAATTATTTTATAATAATTAGTTTATAGAATAAGTTGGAATTAATTAATAAGAAGATAATATCAAATATTTTATTGGAGGGTAATGTACAAGTATGGCAATCACATAGCTGGAATGAGACTGAAAAAGATGGCAATGGAGGAAAATAGGAATCTTTTGATGCCATTTGTGTAGAAGGGTTGTTATTAAAGATTGAAATTGAAGCATTAGCAACAGTTGTGAACAATAATGACATTACACAATCTAAAAGGGGATAGAAAGGAATCTCACTCACACAAAACCACATATTACAAATCTGAACATCAAATCAATCAAGCATCTTAGTTATTAGTGGAATGATCTTCTTTCGTTCTTGCGTGTAACAAAGTTCATAGAGAATGTTAGAGACATTCGTGCATGCAAATATTAATAACTAGGATGAATTAAAGAGCGCATGCGAGAGTGATCCTAACAATGCTCGTGAACTCACACCCCGACTGTGTAGGATTCATTTGTAGTCTTTTATCTCTTGGGTATAAAAATTATATTTCTAAAACTAAAAGTGAAATTGAATATGTAAAGTACAATACGTGATGCCTAAAAGAGCAGAAAATACACTACCATCGTGCATAGCACACAATATCCTACACGCAATACAAATTAATGAAATCATCCAATCCTCTGTTGCTGCAAATGCTCAACCATATATGATGTACACAAAAGAAGAAGAGGAAGAAGAAAAGGGTTAACAGCATGTCATATGATCCAACTCCATCAACTTCTTCATTTTCCTTTGCCAAATGAAAACTCAGACAGACTAATGTTAACTTCATGCTGAGTACGAATCCCAGGCGGTGCCGGAGGCAATTGGGTTGTTGAAGTAGGCTCTTGATCCAGTTCCCTAATCTCTTCTGGGTCACTAGGTCCAGCATTGTTGTTGTTTAGGGAATGTGGTGACCCTTCAGTTTCCCAATGATCTAATTCAAGGTTTGATGCTCTTGGAGATTCATAATAGCCATCAGCATCGCTGCGGTTGTTGTGCTTGTGCAGCAGATGGACCGGGGACATGTGCATGCCGTGGCTGGGAGTTCCCGGCGTACTTAGGAATGGTGTGTTTGAGTGTGAAGGATGGCTGAGTTTTGTGTTCTTTTTGGCTTTGTTGTGCCAGCTCTTCAGTGCTCCTGCCACTTCCTCATTGAAAACGGTGCGTTTCATTGTAGAACCCATCTGTTTGAGTTTGATCAAACGAAACAAAGTTAACCGATGTTAAATCAATTGGGATTCACTTGTAGCCTACTGGGACTTTTTTTCTTTTTTTTTCTCTCCAATTTTCTTGTGCACAATTTAAAATCTGATATTGAAAGTGAGATCATTTTCACCTGTGTCACTAGAGCATAGAGAGGCAGAGTCACATAACTGCATAAAAATTGTATAATGACCCTGAGGAGAGATCACCCAAAAAAAGGAATTGTGTGCATTAGCAAAAAAAATTGTGCTCATTGAATGATTAACATATGGATTTGTACAAATTTGTTTTAGTGTGTAAAGCTCACTGCTCACCCCATTGAGATCCTGATCACGATATCTTCGATGCGGTGGTGGAAGCAAGAATTTATCCCAAACTCATACTGAGGGAGAGAAAATCAATTATTTAGGATATGAAAACTAAAGAAAGCTCTATTTCAATGGTTAAAGTATCTTTTGGTTAACATCTAAACTTAAGTATAAGCAGATCTTTGTAAATGTGGTCATTTTTACTTACTGTACTAAACGCAAAGAAGGCCAGCTGAAATGCATTCTGCAATGAGGAGGAAGAAATAACAAAAGAGCAGCATGTAAAAATACAAACAAGTATGACTGTATATGATAATATAATATCCGTGAATTGAAGCTATACATATGAATTTTAGATGCATATTTTGAAGTACCTGAAACAGAACAAAGTGGATGAGAAAGAGCATGAAGCGAGGGCTTCCAAACCAGAAGAGGTGATCGCCGGGTTGAACAAGAGGGGCACCCTTCACCACATCCCCTCCCTCCTGAATCCTCAGCCCCATCATTGATATAATCACTTGTAGTTTTGTTCCCACCAACAGGATTATCTACAAGATTTTTAACACTATCAGGATTTTCTGTTTTGCTCACAACCCTTAAATTTATGTGGCCTGCAACTGCAATGGCCATAGTAAAAAGGGAATGCATGATACTTGGATGATGAATTTTGTATTTGAACTTACAATTAAAGGGATAAATGGTAGCCAAAAATAAGAATACCATCCTGTCCAAAGAGGAAACATTTCTTTGTCAGTAAATTCCTAAACTTTTCATGGCAATTTTCAGAATCAGTTATAATAATAAAAATAGGATTTTACAATAACACTAGAAACAGATTAGACCTAATAGAATATCTCATTTACCGTATGTGTTGGAAAGCAAGAACAACACTGCAGAGAACCATATAATTGGGCTGCATCCATGAAGTATAAAGTTCAAGTTTGTAAGACAGAGTTAAACAAAGAACCTAATGACTTTAGACACTACAGAACACCAACCTGATCTCCACAACAACTTTGAAATCCTCTTCAAGTGATCTGCTTATGTACTTCTGAAAATCAAATGTCGTTTCACTGTCTGGTGCCAAATGTGCCTGAAATCACAAAGCATAGAATTTGAGTCCATTTATGACCTGCATCTTGAATCCCATTTAAGGCTTTGCGTATGCAAATGAATTAGGCAACTGTTTTTCTTACCATGATAAATCCATGCCTCAGAGTAAGGTAATCAACCTTAGTAACCGACTGGAAGAGCTGCCTGAAGAAAGACACCTGGAAGGGAAAAATGAGAAACTTTGAGACATTTGGTCAAGCAATTTTATGTAAGTTGAGAAGCTTAGGAGTGTGTTTCTGAAGTTGACATCAAGGTTTCTTGCTGACAGAACTTGGGAACAAAGCTCAACTTCACGGAAGTATGTTACTTACAATCCAAAGGGTCAATGGTGACCTGAATTTCAAATGTCTCTGTCCAAATGATGTGTCCCTTGTAAACCTAAACCTTTCTGGATCTGCAATACAAATAATTTAATGAGTTATAATCCAAGAAGTGCCCTTGATGGTTAATTGGAAAATATTCTTATAATTAGTCATGAGAAGCCTAAATCTGTCAACAAAGTTTGTAAGAAGAAACATTATAATTTACAAGAAAAAAATAATAATAATAGTCAACAGAAAAGTTCCAGCAAGATGATGTATTAAAGTCAACCTGGACACCAACTAATCATTCTTTGGGAAAGAAAAAAAGGAGCTAGAAAGTTGATCATATGTCAAGAATGATTGCATGCTTAAACTATTCATCATTTGGGTACAGAAAAAAAGGACCCACTTAGCTTGAAGTAGATAAAATAACTTGGAGCAAAATTACAAACCATTGTGGTACAGATGTTCAATTGACTTTGTCTCTTTCTCCCAAACCTTCCATTTTCTCATCTGTAATCCAAAAAAGATGAAAAATACACTGAAAAGATGAGAGAGAGAGAGAGAGAGAGAGAGAGCTCCAAAGTTGTACTAATATGCTACTTTACCTTGTATCTTCCCAAAGTCAAGGTAAGGATGCAGTAGAGCACATGAAAAACTGCTAACACAAAGATAAATACATGTAGTTGGTGAATCCCATAGGCAGACACAAAGGCAACTTTGTCCTGCAAAAATGCACAGTCAATTAGACTTTTAGTGGCCAAAGGATTTTATATATCACTATTGGAACAGAACCCTTGCTTCTTACCTTCTTTGAGCAATAATCATCTCCTTTTACTGCTAATCTGCGCCTGTAACTGAAGTCAGGATCTGAGAAATAAAGAAGATTCCTACCCTTGTTTTTCAATTTTAACTGTGCTTCCTTACTGCAGGGAAGCCAAGAGTCTCCAACACTTTTTGGTATGCATATACCAGAGATAGGTTCTTGCAGCACAGTCAGGAGCAAGGATAGAAATCCCAATAGCATGAGCTCTTCAAAGAAATCAACGAGAACAAACAAATTGTTAGGCTTTGAACAAACATAAATTGCTTTAATTCCAAAAGAAAAAAAAAACTAAATGACTGGATGATGGGGTACCAGATTTAATCTTCTCAAGTGCTTCAACTAGAGCTCTCTTGTGTTTGCTTGTTAACCACTGAAAATGGTGCAAGAACAATGTCAGGTGCAATGATTAACATTGATGTTTAAAGACAAGAAAGTAAATTCAAGCAGGCAGCCAATGCCCAGAACACTAATTTTTGTGCACTCAGATTCATCTCCACCAGTTTAATAAACTGAAAATCCAAATAAACTGAAGGCAGCAGCAAAGCCTTCATCCCAACTACGTTGGATTTGGTTGCGTGCATGATCATTAACTGAACAATATTTTTTTATGGGAATGAGGCCAATCAGCTTGAAGCCAATTAGTTAACTAAGCAATCTGGCCTTACCTTTCCTATGAGGTGTATGATATGTTCAATGCAGATTGAAACTGCAAGCAACACAAAACAGACCACGGCAACAGCCCATGTTGGTGTTTCCTGTAGGGAACGCTCTTGACTGAGTTCGGCCATTCGAATATCTACTCAAAAGAGCTACCAAGATATTCTTGTGAATCTAAATATTATATGTATATAAATGTGTTTCTCTTTGTTATTTATAAGGGAAATTATGTGTGATGAAGGGAAAAGGCAGGACAGGAAATTCAAGACATTGTCTAAGACCAGTTATGATGAAAGACTTTTAAGTAACAGCCTAAGTCTCTGTCATTCTATGCCGACTTTGTCGCCAAGAGCTTATCAAAATTAAGCAAATCAGCAAATTAACTTGGAGATAATTTTCAATAATATATCCTTTGGAATGAGAAATGGGACAAATGGACATTGTCAAAATGACCACTACTAGTTCATAGTGTCGTTCAATTGCGAGTATGAATTTTTAAGAACATG